ACTCACCCTCTGGCGCGTGTAGGTGGTACGCGTCGTCTGCAGGATCTCCCCCGAGTGCAGGAGCCGCTCCGAGGTATGGGTGACCGGTGTGGCAGCCCACCCTCCTCCACCGGCGCACCGTGCTCGTCCACAAACAGAAACTGGAACAAACACACCGGCAAACAACCAACAGTCTGGTCAACAAACAAGTACCATCGGGGAAAACACAACACAGATGGAGCACAATAAATAGATGGAAATTGAGGAATGATATAGACGGAATCTAATGGATACAAGAGTTTCTATAGCTTTAATGCGTTAAAATGAATTATGAGGGTACGAAGTTGCATTTAGCTCGCTCACAATCACACAGTTGTCTTACCTCGACGGTGAGCGATCCGGAGACGGGGTCCTGCTCGTAGGGCCTGGAGAGCAGCGGTATAATCTGGCGCTGACTGGGATTCACCAGCAGCTCCTCGATGCCCACTATACCCAGGCCCAGGAAGTTGGTGTCGCGCGCCTTCTGCTTGTCGAACACCTCGAACAGCAGCTCACTCGTGTTGGGAGACAGGTCACTGTGGGGAGGTCACCGGGCACAATCACTGCGTGCAGGCCATCAGACACCATGGACATTGGACAGTCAGCGACTCAGAAGACACTGCAGGCAGGTAACCAGACATAGTGAGTGAAGGAGGAGGCTGGTCATTGCAGGTATGCCTCTGAGCACGGTATGACAATCAGGATTACTGAAATTCACGGCGTGCACTTTACCAAAATCGTTTACCGTTACTTGGTCTTTATTGCTGGTCTGATAACAATTCGACCTCGCAGGCAAAAGGGACCAACAATTTATGGTCTTCGGAATAGATATTTCATAATGCCTATCATCTATTGATTGTTTATCATTGTTTCATTTCGGTAATAGGTACGGATAAAATCGGTTGTATTGAACGGCCTGTTATTCACATTTTGCAAGGCAATCGCTATTATTGGGCTGCAAATGCTGCACATACAGACACGTGATCAGATTTTTACGTGATTAACCCGCGCGGGGCTGGGGTCTCCAGCCGAACGCGCGGGGCTGGGGGGGGGGGGGTAAATTTTACCCCCCCCTGTTATCTCCCGAACTAATGGTCCGATTTGGAAAATTCAAACGCCAATCGAAAGATCTCATCATGAACAACTAAAAACATGTACTTAATTTTAAGTTTGAGGTCAAGGTCAAGGTCAGGTCAAGGGTACAAATTGCAAGTTCATACAGTATCGGCCTTGCACCGTAGTTGCCGAAGAATGGAGTCATGGACTGAGACTGATCGCCCAAAACGTGTTCTTAGGCTACCAAGACAATATTCGTTGCATATAATATCATTCAGAGGTCAAGGTCAAGGTCAGGTCATGTCAGGTCAGGTCACCAAAAACAAAATATAGAAAAGGGCATGTGCGACACATGTTTTATGGGTCATTTTACTCATATAATTCAATAGGCACACCCAATAAGAGATATGGACCACCTCTGGATGAATTTCAGGTCGAGGTCAGGTCAAGGTCAGGTCAAGTGAGGTCAAATTTTGAAGTTGGTTGTTAAGGCCTAAAAAGGTGTCTATCTGATGCAGTTTCTCACGGCGAATCGAATGGTGCTATTTTTGTTTCCGTACGAGGTCTAGAACTTCCAAAAAAGTCATTTTTCAAAAAAAATTGTGTGTCGTGACGTTATACAATTTTGAATAACTCCCACATTTTATAACCGATTCTTCTAAAACTTGGTATGTAGGTGTACATAGACCACTTCTCTGACATATATTCCGGTTTTTTCGATACACTCAACATTTTAGATTTTATAGCTATTTTCCCAAAAAAGTCAGTTTTTTGAAAAAATTTGGGCCAAAATACAAAATTTTCAAAAAACCGAGATAGCCATTTGATAGACAAAAAAAATTACGTAGATCCTTTTTGTTACGTCTTGATTCCTTTAAAAATGAAGATGTTAGCGGCGTTTGAACTTTTGCCGTTTTTTAGGCGAAAATGGCGAACATGACGTCACTAAAACGTCAATTTCTCAAAAATTTTCCGACAGATTTCGCTCAAATTTTCAGGGAACGTGTCAAATTGATGTAAGAAAAGGTACTGAAAGTTTGGCGGCGCTGCGCGCCGCCGTTTTTGAGATATTGCAAAAATTCGCGAGGGGGGGTAAAATTTACCCCCCCAGCCCCGCGCGGGTTAAAGACCACCGCCTCCCCCGCCCCGTCCCAAAGCTGAGCTGTATTTGTGTGTGACAGCCACCGGCAGGCGGAAGCAGCGGCACAGGTGCTGTGCGGCACCGGCCTCGCTCAGACGCCGGTGTTTGTTTTCGACAGCGGACTGGTCTGGCAGCGGGCGCCGGTCGGACTCGCCGCACCTGGCCCTCCCGGCACGGTATGCCGCCGAACGGCCGGCCGGCGCCGGTGGGTGCGGCCCGGCCGACAGACCGGCCGGCCGGGACGACTGGCTGGCTGGCTGTCCTAGGTCGAGGGAGGTCCGACTAACTACAAGGCCGTTTGCATGATTGCTATTGAAAGGCACTATTCTTAAAGTATTTTTTAAAGCAAAATCCACCTTGCAGAATTGTAGCTTCTAATTTGAAATCGCATAAATAATTTGACGAAAAAGGTCCAGGAGCTACAAACCACAAGCTTGCTTATTACACGTGATTATGAAATTCCAAGTCTTATGAAGACTACCAGGAGTGGCACCGGTTTGGGGCCAACATAAATATTCTAAGCGCAATGACAGCTGCAGCACAGCCTCTGTGGTAACATGTCTACTCACAACACAAATGCCTCATCCCAGAACGGATGGTCGGTGTCCAGTCGCGTCTCGGTCTGGAACTTTTGCGGCGGCTCGTCCATTTCAATTTCGCAGTACGGTTCCTTGCAGCCTGAAACACGACACGCAGTCCCGGTCACACATAGTAAAGGGGTCCGGTTCCAATAATTTTCGCACCCTTCTTGGAGAGGATCGGCGTGCCTGACGGGAGGTGCTGAGCTTTCCCCAATATATCGAGCACTGTACTGGTTGAAAACGGAATATTTTTTTCAAATAAATTTGTCTTTGCATATTCGGTGTAGGCTGTCAAGCGTTGCATGCGGAGCATCGATAGTAAATGTAATTGGTAGTCCATGAGACATGAACTCGTTCAGTTCATACGCAAGAACAATAAAAAAATGCGCCGTGACTTGCTCTTGAAAATGAGAGCATATAAAAAGTAGATGTCATATGCAAAATTTCCAGCGATCATTGATCAAGGTTCAAAGATAACTACACCCATAGATAACATAAACCATGTTTCATGTTACCTATGCTACACCAAAAAGCAGATTTCCCGCGAAAGAGCAGCAAACATCTAAGAAAGCTACCACCGCGCGGGTAGCAACAACCCCATCCCCAGTGCGGGCGCGAGTTAACGTAAACTGGGAGCACCACACAGCGATAAACATTAGACGGGGCGACATACCTACCATTCCCACCACGACATGCGTAAATGGGGAGAGACATTTCATACACGATGCGTCAATAAATTATACGCCGCTATTTACGGGAAAATGCAGTGCGTGACGCCGCCATTATAGGTAGGTAGGTAAGAATTCGTCAAAATGGTACGCCTAAAGAATTACACCCTGCCTTCGTAACCCCAAAACGAATGATTGCAAAAGTTCCCAAGAGCCAGACAACATTCCCGTGCACGTGAAGCGCTGAATGGCACCCATCTGTTGTCTGCGTCTCTGACTAACGTCCTGAACTTCTAACAAGGCCGTCCATCCCGCTGGGTCATAACTCAGCGGCTCGGAGCAGCGCGTTAGCGCGCCGCTGCCAACACCCCTCCCCATGGCGCCGGAGGTGGTGCGGAAAGATCGATGTCAAAAGGCGCCCCACACGGCAGTCTCAACACCGCAGCACGTTGAATGACCCGATAACATACCATGCATAACGAGCAGCATTTCATTCCAAGCACTTAATGCGTGAGGACTGATCTATCAGCGAAAACAAACGCTAAATATCTAGCTTGTATCCGTGCTAGCCAAGTATCGCGTTTGGGATAATATAAGCGGCATCCTTAGGATGCCACAATCATCCAAAGCAAAAATATACATCAGTCCACCACAATCATCCAAAACAAAAACATACATCAGTCCAAACCAGATATGATTTACTAACAACACCCTGGGACAAGCTGTTATTCAAGTTGACGCCATCCACTTTATAGCTTCCTTTATGTTATACACACGCCCGTAACGTCAAATTTTATCGTTAAATAGCGCTACTAAACTGCAGTGGAGCTCTCCGTTGGCGCCCTCACGGCAGGTATCGTTGTAGGCCTGCTCACAGGGCGGCTGGCATCAGAGAGGTACCCGGACTAGCAGCGGCTCCAGGCGGTCGATCACAAGGCGCCTGTACCGCCGCCCGGCCGCCTCCGCCCCCGCCGCGGCGCCCTGCCGCCACCCCTCCACCGCCCCCGCCCGGCCGCCCTGCCACCGCCCGTCGAAGGCAGCCAGCCAAGATCAGCAGCTGGGCGGCGGTGGGTGGGATGGTGTCCCACACGCCCTCCGTCCCTGTTCGTCCCACCCTGACCCGGCCGGACCGAGAGGAACCAGCGGAGGGGAAGGACAAGTGTCAGGAACGGCCGGGTCCGACAGACGGCACGCTGCCATCAGCGATTTATCATAGAAAAAGGCCTGTCGCCAACGACAGGGGTTAGTGATGTATGGTGAGTTGCGGATGTGGGTGTAAGGCCAGTTTGTCTTTCACCGTGTCCTGCTATCGGCAGTTGGCACCTGCCAACAGTTTGTTAAAAAAAAGTAAAAATATAATATGAATCGAAATCAAAAGAAAGTGGCATGGCTATGTGCTACGAATCATTTATCTTCGCCAGACCATCAGCAATCATCAAAGTGATATTCGATGTCAAGAGTCTGCAGTGAAGTCGTGATGTGCGTTCCATAGCACTTCCCAAAAACCATTGGTTGGAGAAGAATCACTTCCGCGAAATCCATCACCTCTCATCACTGCCAGACCATTTCAATGGGCAGAAACGCTTCCGTGTAGCACTGTCCTCACCTTTGCTGGCACCGAGTCCGGCCGCTTTCACAACCTTGACCAGAAGTCGCCGTGTCATCCGCTCGCCGCCATTGGCTTCGGGCCGGTCCCGGGACTGAGGAGGAAGCCATAACCGTCAGACGGTGGATTGGAAATAGAATAACGTTAGCAGAGAGACGAAAATAAGCGGTGCGACTTTTGTAGGAGAAAAGTGAACAAAGTTTGGTCCGTTAGTGGAACCGAAAAACAACAGTTTGTTTTTGTTTGGGAAACAGGCCTCGAAATCGAACCCTTTATCCTCCAAAATAGCCTCACTTTGAATTAGTTCTGAGAACACCACGTCATAGCACCTATCCTGATTCCTGAAAAACACGGAACAAATAGTGCATGGACGCGTTTCCATTGTTAAAAATTTATCAGCATGACATTATCACAAAGAAAATGTGATTATGTGATGCTGATGAAGATTTAACAATCGAAACGCGTCCATGCACTATTTGTTTCGGGATTTTCTACTTGTCTCTATCAATATACAAGCATCTATCCTATCGTATAATGCATCGATGTCCTATCGATAGCATCATGGTGATCTCTTTTAATTGTTTCATTTCCTTTCTGGCATCCACATACGGAAGATGGAGTCATAATGTCATTAGCATTTTCCCGGGTGCCGGCGCTATACATTCCCTATTGGCGACAGAGACTGGATCCCGTCTGACCCGGCCGCCCGGCGGGGGCGAGGGCGGGGGCGGGGGCGGGGGCGGCGCTGGCAGCACGCCCGCCCGTTCGGCGGCCGGCCAGCCCGACTGATCGGCAGGCCGGCCGACCGGCCGGCGAGGCGGTCTGCTGCCGGGCGCTAGGTCAGCCTGCCTCACAGAGGCCAGTTCAACCGAGCAGTACTACCGGCTAGCTAACTACCGGCGCGGGGGCAGGTCACTGCCCATAGAGCACGGTTCAACTTTACAGCCGCTACCGGCGAGAGGGAAGCTGGCCGCCCAGAGAATATAGTTCAACTGAGCAGCAGCTACCAGTGCCAGAAAACATAAAGACGTGACCACTGCTGACACAGGCCGGGCTGGCGAACGTACTGATCTAAGACATTGCCGATGTTAAACCTGTGCACGGTCTTAAATGAAACTGGAATTACTGGGTAGGCTGCTAGTTCTGCTCGCTACCGAATGGTTGCGGACTGCGGAATGCAAACCCTGCAGGCTGCATAGTGCAGACTCCGCACTGCAGAGGTCTGTAGCTGCTGAATCAGACCGCTAGGAACGCGGCGGCACGGCGTTTTTACCACCGGGAGCCCGGTCAGAGTTGCAGGCTGACACTGCCACAGCGACGGAATAAAAACCCGACTCGAGATTTGGAAGCAGAACCCCGGACCAGAATCATAAGCTGAGTACAAGTTGCAGCGGCACCGAACCGAGCAAAGGCCTAAACTGGGACCGGAGGTCGAGCCTCCAACTTTGCTCCACTGCCTCTACCCCCTCCCCCTCCCAAAAAAGTGTCAGTGTATTGCATTATAACGACTCTGTTCCAGACTCAGGTCAGACACGCCTTGGTGACTCACACCGGTCACCGTTCGAACCGCGCTGACATCAGGCCTGACTGGCAGCACCACTGCTTACGTCACCCATGACGTCATCGCTGTCGGTTCGGTGGCCGCACCTAGCCGTGACAGGCAGACCTGGACTGGCTCCATACAGCTGTCTGGTCATGTCTTACCGCCAGCACATGGTCAGCAAATCTAATAAATCCAGGGGACCATAAAGCAAAAGTTATTTCTATAGAGAAATCCATTTGAAAGCGCATTTGTTTTTGTAACACGACCTAGGCAGCCGCAGAGAAAGCGAAACATCTTGGGGTTAATCTTTTTCGACCTTTCCCTCCCTCCTCCGTGAGCTTAGAACAGGATTTGCTGCTAGTTTCTAAAAACAGGAGTTCCGCTGGTGCGACGGGCCGGCTCTAATCTCCTGCTTTTAAACACAGGAGCTCAGCGGAGTTGTAGCTCAGCCTGGGACACCACCAGTAATACGACTGAACCGAATTCAACCTAGTTGTTTCCTTCAACAGCACCGAATCTCGGTAGGATACCTGTCGAGCGAAGCACAATGTACTGAGTGAATGGCATGGGCAATATGCGACCTCCGCCATTATACGCAGATGTACGCTCGCTCGCACACTCTCACACACATTAGCAGACTTACCAGACTGCGGACTCGTTCAGGCTCTTCGGTGCGGACGAACGGCGGAAAGTCGGCCTCCTGGCCAAAGTTGAGATCGACGACGGCGTCCCTCAGACACCCGGTGACCACCTCCCTGGCGCCCTCCTGTCGGATCTGCTCCTCGAGGGCAGAGCTCCGACCGCTGTCACTGGTCGGCTCGAGGAGGAGTTGAACCTGGGGTATAGATAGTGTGCTCGTCAGCAGCTGGAACAGCGGGCCGTCAGCAGCTAGACCTGGGGTACAGATAGTGTGCCGTCAGCAGCTGCAGCTAGGGTACAGACAGTGTGCCGTCAGTCTGGTACCGTGTGCAGTAAAAAGCTGGTACAGTATGCCGTCAGCAGCTGGTAAAGAGTGCCGTCAGCAATTGGTCTAGTTTAACATTTGATGACCTTTGGTGAGTTGACCTTTGACCTGGCTCCAAAAAGACCAAAGTACTCATTTTTATTATGCATTGTTCATGATTGTAAAGTCTTTTGAACGCCGCCTACCGCGTGTCGTTACGTGCCGAGCTAGCGGAGGAGGGGGGGGGGGGCGTAAAACCAGCACCATCGAACCAGCACGGCGCCACTCCACCGGCCCGTCGCTCCGGTCGGTCAGCTGAGGACCAAAGTCCACGGCAGTCCGGCGCTCGCCACTACTTTTTATTCGGCTTCTTCGCTACCTTCTTTATGTATGCCACGAAGCAGAGTAGTACAAACATGCGTTGCTGATGTGCTTCTACTCGACGGATTTGGAGCGAGCATGACGGTTGTTTTACAGCTTTCAGTGACAGTGACAACAGCCCTGGCTCTTCCAGTTACTGCTGAACACCGCATCAGACGAGTGGAATGCCAAATCGTGACCTTACATTTTGATACGGACGTCATCCCATGGCGCATTTAGGGAGAGTCACGGACGTCGTGTAAGAGAATTTTCCATTGATTTTTGCGCCTAGCACACTGTGTCCTAATGCCAAAATTAGAAGAAAAGAATTGACCTCTCCTGACCTTTTAACCCGCGCCGGGCCGGTGCTCTGAGATTCCGCGCCGGGCCGGGGGGGGGGGTGTCTGAACACCCCCCCCCCCCTTCTAACTCGGCTCCTGGGCCACGTAGCGACACGCGGTAAGCGGCAATCGAAAGAACGTCCAAAATAAGGACGAAAACACTTCGGTCATTTTTTGGGTCAGGTCAAAGGTCAGGTCACCAGAGGTCACCAAAGGTAAAATGTTGACCATTTCAACATTTTGGAAACTGCCAACGGCTATCTCGGGAACCGATAGAGCTACAGCGCCGCGGAAAAGCGCATTGGATAGCCCTTTTACAGACCTTTCTTAATAATGTTTTCAGATTTGACCTCAGGTCAACGGTTTAGCCTCCAGAGGGCAAAAACTCCAAAAATAGCTGTTTTTTACGAAAAACGTTTTTTTTTTTCGGCAATAACTTTTGACTCAAAAGAGCCATGACATTACTTTTGCCAGCATCGTGTTCCTCTCGTCGAGACGCGTCGAATGAACAATAATTTGACCTTGAAAGGTCAATTTGAAAATTTGACCTCAGGTCAAGGTCATGACCTGACCGGAAAAGGTCATGTTGCATATCAGTCGATCGGCAACGTCGAGCCGAACACATCTAAGGCGTTTTCAGCGCTCTAGCACCTCTCTATCAGAAGTTATTAGCGAAAAACTGTTAGATTCTGTTCGTGACCTGAGATGACCTCGGGGACATAACGAGGGGTCACAGTTGCCATTTTCTGGTTCAGTGTGTCAATCTTACCTATATCTCGATGTTTGAGAGTGTCTAGAATAGCGTTCGTGCAAAACAGACGTTTTTCAATTTTCTCCCATTGACTTATAATGGAGAGGCCGCAAAATTGACCTGACCTTAGGTCACCGATATCAAAATTCCGAGATATACATTTTATAGATATTGTTGCTCTTATCAATCGCTGAAAGTTTCAAGGCAATCGATCAATCGGTGTAGCTATGACGAGCATTCTTATTTTTTTCTGAGGTGAGGTCACTTGGCGTGACCTAGTGACCTGACCTAAGGCGACCTGACCTGGGTCTGAAATTTTCACAACATGTGCGGAAAAGATGCACAAACAAATGTGCCAAAAACGGCCGCGCGGAGCGCCGCCGTTTTTGAGATATCTGCGAAAAACTGCAGGGGGGTGTTCAAACACCCCCCCCCCCCCCCCGGCCCGGCGCGGGTTAATGCCATGATCTTTGTTATCTGCATACGTTGAGACAGACATACACGAAAAGGCACACAGACAGACCAACTAAACACAAAAGTCTCGCTCAGCCCCTCCCCCTCTCACAACTCACCTCTGGCCATCCGTCGAACTTGCCGATGGCCATGGCCTGGTGGGTCAGAGCGGCCACGTTGATTCGACCGCGCAGCTTCTGCACGGTGGTGGCGTAGGTGGCCGAGCGCGTGCGGCCGTCCTGCTCGTAGGTGACGCGGGTGGTGAGCAGAGGACATGCCGAGGCGTCCGCCGTGATCGTCTGCCCGAGAAACGACAAGGCAAGTCGTGTTAGAGGACAAGATAGGGATATTGGCATACATAGAGCACGGTATAGGCTACCGTTGGCCAAAGTACTAATGATCTTCGTGACTGCATTATAGATTGGAACACTTGTTCAGTACTGTTAGATTGTTAGATTGTTAGATTGGAACACATGGAGCAAAACACGATCGGCGATAGTGCATGCAACCTAGCGTCGCAATTGTGAAAACGGCGATCAACTGCAACGGTGTTTAATGTTCAAACCCGTCAGTTCGTCCTGTTTACACTTTCTCGTGGATATGCACCCAATGTTAGTGGCTCATGGCATTACAGAGTGTGACTCGGTACCTTTGGTACATGCTATTCAAGATAGCGTTGCCCTGTCCCGGCAGGTAATAGGGATGCTCTGAGACACGGGAGGATGTATGTACGGCGTACTCGCAGAACATGCCAACGTACCGAAAGAGCAAAATAAAGGCCCTCATATTGTAGCATTCATCCTATACGCTGACAATGTCACACTTTGTGAGTGACATTTCACAATAAATAACCTTCAACGAAGTGGAAGGCTGCTAAGGATAGCGAGAGCTTTGATTGTTTTGGGGTTTTGCGATCGCTTCCTCCGTATAACACTCCACGTCATAACCTGCGGACACTGCGGACTCGCACTCGAATTCGACCCGGGACAAAGAGCATGAGATGATTGGTCAAGTGAAGCCCTACAGCTGTCAGAGAAGACCCTTCGCTGGCACGAGAGAGCTGACACCCATGTCCACTCGTCATTTATGTGTGTGTTCACATTGTGAGGCCGAGTTCACTGCTCACTCGCCGTGAAACCAACAGACTCGCTAGTCCGACTCGACTCACTGGGGCCGTGACCAATTACCACGATATTCTTCGGACACTCTAATATACATCACTGTAGTATCGGCAGGACCCTGCTCTACGCCAACTAACCATGCATTTCCGGCCGGGACCGTGCTATCCCAGGGGTGCTACATTCGGCGTCACTAGCCTTGCGTTCGGCATCCGGAAAATGAGGGATAGTTATCCGGGATCACCGGTACTTATTTGGTATTGCAGGGGCCATTGATGCAATTAGTCACATTTTTAGATTGATTTTGCTTTACGAATGGCTCTTTTACTCGTTGTCATGTCCATTGTGCACGATGTTAGCATAAAACACCGAATGATCCCGGTGATCCCGGAAAATTATCCCTGATTATCCGGATGCCGAACGCACGCCTCAGCATGGTGTCATCAGGGACATGTTCTGATATCCATCACTATGGTATCGGCGGGATCATGTCATCTCCATTGTGGGGCCGTGACGTTTGAGAACTCGGCCTCTCTGAGACTGTGTTCACTCATCCTGTTATCCCCGGGGTTCCTGACCCCACTGGTTGTCACTAGATCTGTTAACCCTCGCCCGTAAACGGTGTTTTGCCACCTTCGCCCATGCAGGGGGGGGGGTTGGTGCGACCCCCCTGGCGTTTGAAAACGGAGCGTCGTAGAGCTTAGCGGAAAAGACCAACGGATTGCTCTCAACGAGATCTCGCGAATGGTGGTATATTTTTGGTCCTAGGTCAACATTTGACCTACTTATGACCGGTCAAAGGTCAAATTTTCGGAAAAAATCTAGCTTTTTTCAGATTTCCGCGCCGATTGCGGCAAAACGGTGAGAGATATCGACTTGAAACCTTCACTATCGTGATCCTTGATCAATTCTCTATCGTTTGGTGTGTATTTCGATGTCATACCTCTAAAAATGATGCGTTGGGAGCATCGGAAGTCTGCAAGGTCATTTGTGCATTGGGTCACGTCAGGCGTGTGACGTCACTGACCTGACACTGACCCAAAATGAACTACAAGAAACAAGCGACGATGCCTGAAATGGATAGCAAATTCGAATTCAGGGCATCAAAATACCCCGAAAAGGCATACAAGTGCAAGAAGTCATTACAGGTCAACCGAGGTCACTGACCTTACCTTGACCTTAAGTAACCTTCAAAATGTCAACGGACATTGTGCCAATGTCAAATCAGCCAGTTGTGATTCTAAAACAATCCATCAGTGTGTCAGGTCAGTCGGCATTTATACCAATGTGAAGCAGTCTCCAATTTAGCGTAAATCTGGCCGGAGGTTGTTCCCTTTATGACGTCATAACTCCGTGACCTGACATGACCTTGACAAAAAAAAAATACCAAAAGTTGCGCAAAGGATGCCCCATAGAATACTGAAAACTTGAGCAGGCTATCTGAAACGGTTCGACGTGTAGCTAAGAAAAACCTCAGGGGGGTTGCACCCTCCCTTGCCCCCCCCCCCTACATGGGCGAGGGTTAACTTACCATGGTATCGTCAGGGCCGTGCTCCACCACCACGTTTGAGAACTCGGCCCGCTCCGTCTCCGGCCGAATGTTGACGAAGTGCAGATTGATCCCCGCCTGGAAGAGGGGCAGTCGATGTCATACACGTTAAAAACGATGACGGGATGTGCCTGTGGTGAAGTCAATGACATGACGAAGTGCCCGAACAAACACAGTAGATTCAACGTGTACAGCAGAAGCGTGATGACTGATTGTGTCACACAATGCCAAGCCGACCATCGTGTTTCTCTCGTCAAAATGCGTCAGGTGAACTATAATTTGACCTGAAAAGGTCAACTTAAAAAATCTTAACTCCGGTCAAGGTCATGGCCGGCCTGCAAACGTCATGTTGGATATCGATCGATCCACACTGGTAACCGGAACACTTTATCATATGATGCCAAATTGATGCATGACAAGGCACGCTCCACTAAGTTTCACCACGGCTTTCTTTACACACAGAAAAAAACTGCAGGGTGGCGAAAAACACCCTCCCCGGTCCCCTCCCCTCCCCTGCCCAGGGCGAAGGATGATTGAACTAGGCCCTCGTGGAAAAACGAGCATGCGCATCATTACGAGACTCAGTGACTGGTACCCAATTTTAACCCTCGCCCGTATTGGTGTTTTTCCAGCCGCGAACGTATAAGGGGGGGTCCGTTGGACCCCCTTGCCGTTTCGCCCCTGATCGAGCTAGAGCTTCGCGGAAAAACTGAGCGTGTTGCCCGTGATGAGAGGAAGCCGATGATACCCAATTTTAAGGTCCTAGGTCATTGGTTGACCTTCCAGGTCAGGTCAATGACCCAAAAGTCGGGAAAATCGGAAGCCGCCAGAACGTCGTAAAGGGTAGATGCTATGGGTTTTTCGTGGTGCTGATCACGAATATCATGTTAGTTTTGATATATGACAGGTAATGTCTTCATGCATTTAGGCCAGGTCGGGTCAGGTCAGGTCAGGTCAACCGGTAGAGGTCCTGCCGAGTATTTGTAGTAGGTGTCAACCGCCTCTGACAGCTTCGTGACATGTTACGAAGGCACCAAAACTACTTCGTAAATGTTCATATGGTTGCTAAATTCGAATTCAGCTCCAAAACGTTCGACCCTCCCCCCCCCCCCTATACGGGCCCTAAGGTTTCAGAGCAATCGGTGGCCTATGAGGTCAGGTAAAGTGCCCTAAGGTACGGGTTCGGTTTTTGGTCAATAAATTTACCAAAAATTCCACAAAGCTGCGATTGAGGCATCATCGTGTTAGCCACGCTCAGGCGCGCCGAATGATATCCTTACTTCTTTATTTTGTTGCCGTCAACTTAGAATTAAGTGTTGACCTGAGGCCAAGGCCAGGTAAAAAAAAAAAACATCACGAATTTGGTCGAGGGACGTCATATTACATTTCATTCAATTCGGTAGGTCTTCCCGAGTCCACTGGTCGTTTTCCTACTTCCCAGCTCAACTTACCGCGCACCGACGGGGGTGGGGAATGGGGGAGGGGGATACGGGCAACTTCGCAAAATCTCGAAAACGACGTAATCTAGCGACAAGCGGTAAACCGCATTGGATAAATGCGGATAAACGCTACAATGTGTAAGAGGGTCATTTTCAGGTCAGGTCAAAATTGACGCCACAGGAGTCAAAATAGTTAAAATAGAGGCATTAGAGGTCCAAGGGAGTTCTTATGCTAATAACTTTTGAAATAATTAAGCTAGAGCAAAACTAGTAGCAACATCGAGATTCACTCGTCAAACTGCAACGAAATAAGCGTGTGTTGCTATCAAAAGGTCGTCAAGAGCTCACCTTAGTCACGTGTTTTTTAATGTCAAAATGCATATCATTCGAAGCGTCTTGACGAGCTGAACACAATGAGACCATGCGTGCAGCTGTACCTCCTTTCCGTAAGGTTATTGGCACACAAAATATCGTTTTGGTGACCATATCTCGGAATTTTGATATCGGCGACCTAAGGTCAGGGCAATTTTGCGCCTTCTCCATAAGTCATAGGAGAAAATAGACAGGCGCCTCTTTTAGATGAACGTCATTCTAAACACTCTTCAAAGTCTCAAACACCGAATTACAAGTTAACATGACAAACTGAACCGGAAAATGGCACCTGTGACCACTCTTTATGTCCCTGAGGTCATCTCAGGTCACCAATGCTAGCTGAGTCTTTCGCTTAGGGGAGAGTGGGGTAAGATGCCCAGGGTGGGAAAGACGCCCCACCCCCTCTAGCGGCGAAACAAAGAATCGAACCTGGAAATTAATGTTCTTAGCGTAAAGCGGAAGCCTGCCTTGTTAAGTGCACAAAAATTTGCGCAGCTCAGTTGGGCAACGGCTGGCTGATGATTGCATGTTTTTTATTTGCTGCTTTCAAAAAATATTTAGGTGTCAAAACATTGTAAATATCAAAGATGGTAGAATATTTTTGCGTCCCTTGCTATAGTCGTGATCAAGGGTCGTGATACATTAGCATGCGTGTACTGTGTCCCAAGCAGTTTGTTTCAGGGTGTTGTTTTATGGCTAACAAATTGTACTGATTTAATGTTACTTCGGTACCTTGGGGTAAGATGCCCCCTGTCCTGATGGGGAAAGACGCCCCCCTAAATCCGTGGGCTGGCCTTCAAGGAACCCGTCAAATCATTTATTACCTACATACTTGTGATGTAGACAAAAGCCGATCTGGGACAATTGAGAGTCCAGTACGGTCGGGTGCTCCCCATGCCGGTCTCTCGGCCCACACAGCGACTTCTTGGGCGGCATCTGACTCTGAGAGCCCTCACGACGGCCTCTGTGGGCCCCATTATTGGCTCCAGGGCCCCTCACGACATCCTTTAAGGGCTCCCACGTCGGCTCCACGGGCCGCGCTGGCATCTGAGGTCCCCACGATTGGCTCGAGGGCCCTCAAGCATCATGAAGACCTATAAGAGCCCCACAGTGGTCTCCGCACGCCACCACGGAGGCTTTTTTGGCCGCACTGAACTATGATGGCCCTAACGATGACCTCTGAAGCCCCTTACGACTACTTTTGAGGGCCCTTATGATGAAGTTTGGTGTCTTCTGCAGGCCCGAAGGGACTACTGATTCGTTCAGGCGATTCACGTGCCCATTTATGTCACTTATAGTGCAGGGGTCATCTTCCCCAACGCCAGGGGGCGTCTTTCCCACCCTGTGGGGTAAGATGCCCCCTTTCACTTCTTCAGGAAAATGCTTAGTAGCAAAAAAAAGTTATCATATTACAGGCACGAAAGTGTGATATTTTTGGAGAAAAATGATGTCGGCTTCCGTTGAAACTCCAAGTTTTTGCTTTCCCATCGTCATTTTCAAATAATATATGACATAGCTAAACCCTGGGCATCTTTCCCCACTCTCCCCTATGTCTTTTGACAGAGTGAAAGAGCGATGAAAATGCCTTAGATGCGTATAGCTCGACGATACGGATCGATTGATATGCAGCACGACCTTTTCCTGTCAGGTCATGACCTTGACCCTAGGTACAATTTTCAAGTTGACCTTTCAAGGTCAAATTATAGGCAGTTCATTCGACGGGTAAGGACGCAAGGAACACGGTTCGGGCAAAAGTAAAATCGTGAGTCTCTTGAGTCAAAAGTTATTGAAGAAAAACATTTTCGTAAAACGGCTATTCTTCAGTATTTGCCCTCTGGAGGCTAAACCGTTCACCTGAGGTCAAATCTGAGGACACATTCCGATAGATGTCTAAGAGGGCTATCGGATACGCTTTTCCTCGGCGCTTTAGCTCTATCCGTTCTCGAATTACGTGCCAGTGTTTCGAGAAATGTTGAAAAAGGCAAAATATTACCTTTGATGACCTCTGGTGACCTGACCTTTGGCCTGACCTAAAAATAGCAGGGGTGTCTTCCCCCTTATTTTGGACGTTCTTTCAAATGCAGCTTACCGCATGTCGCTACATGGCCCAGGAGCTGAGTTAGAGGGGTGTGTTTAAACACCCCCTCCCCCCAGCGGGTCGCATGCCGGGCTTCATAGGTTACTAGGCCCTATAAGTCTAATCTCCCTGTGAAAGCTCCCCTGGCACTGAGGGCATTGCTAAGATGCGACATTTTAGGACTGGGCAGAAGACTGTTGTAAATAACTAGGCCCTTTGCTGGTTCCAGTCGGGTCCTAACGAATTTGTTCTCCTTTAAAAATGTATACTCCGGCACCTGAAATCTCCTAGATTTCCAGTCTGTGTGATGAAAAACTGCTATTATTACGCCAAAAATATGCAATTTTAGCATTGAGAGAACACATTTTATCAGCTGTCACATTTAGTAGGCTAAAAACACGATTTTCCTGTTGAGTGTTCTAAAAGCTGGCTGGTTCTCCGGACATGTTTTATTCTCCGGGACCAGGACCAACATTCCTAATTCCAACAACAAATGTTTACTTATGATGTCATGGGCCAGTGACTTCACCCGACCTGAAAACACGAGTTAAGTCATAAGATCTACCTTGAATCATCGGTCAGGTATGACAACTTTCAAATCTCTCTCGCCAGCGCGTTCCGGACTATCGCGAAAAATGGGAGGGAGGGGCGTCGTCGGGGGGGGGGGGCGGGGCAACCACTTCCCACCCTTTCCACTGGCACAGCCTAAGCTTTAACCCTCGCCGGCACAGGCCATCTTGCGTCCTTCGACGGCGCAAGGGTACGACCCCCTAGTTGGAACGGCAGTTGGCGTTTGGCCCCTGATCGAGCTAGAGCTTCGCGGAAAAACGAGCGTGTTGCCCGTGACGAGAGGAAGCCGATGATACCCAATTTTAAGCTCCTAGGTCATCGGTTGACCTTCCAGGTCAGGTCAATGACCTAAAAGTCGGGAAAATCTGGACCTGTTAGAACGTCATTAAGTGTGGCTGCTATGGAGTTTTTCGGGGTGCTGATCACGAGTATGATGTTAGTTTTGATCACAGATGATGTCTTTATGCATTTAGGCCAGGTCGGGTCAGCTCAGGTCAGGTCAACCAGTACCTGCCGGGTATTCGTAGTACGTGTCACTGTCAACCGCCTCTGACAGCTTCGTAACATGTTACGAAGGCACCAAAAGTACCTCGTAAATTTTAAATGGTTGCTAAATTCGAAATCAGCTCCAAAAACTAGTCTAAAAACACGTATAACTCGAAAAAGTGGAACGAGGTCATCAAAAGTGAATGACCTGACCTGACCATCAGGTGACCTTGACATCGACCCTTATCCATGGGAGCAACATCAACTCACATGTTTGAACGTTTGAAACCACGAAAAGACTGCAAACGCGCGGCTAATGCGAACCGACATACGCCGAGTCGCGATTCCGGCCAAACATGGTCTCGAAGAGTAGGTCACAGGTTAAAGGTCATTTGGATCAGGGTCATGAAATTTTCAGGGTAGGTGTAAAAATGATCAACGCGAGGGTAATGAAAGTTTCGTCGCGATCAGCCACCTTTTACACGCGTTATTCGCGAAAAACTTTAGGGGGGTTGCATCACTCCCCGTGCCAGCGAGGGTCAAAATTGTAATCAAATCCACCAAAAATTTTACTAGTTTGCCCTTTATGAACATTATACCTTATTACCTTGCTCATTCATTCTTCAACAAGCGAAATAGCATTAATCCAAAAAGCATTATGATTAAGTTATTGAACAAATCAACTGATAATTAGTTTTCTGAGGGAAATAAAGTGTTCTCAAAATTGCCCTAGCCTAGGAGCTATGCTGACTTTTTTCATTTTATTCTTTTCAAAAATTTGATCAAAAACATAACTAGCATTTCTGACAATAATTCAGCAAACCTATCTATGGCATACTCATCACTTATAAAGACACACCCTTATTGTGTTTTTTTTTTAGCAGAAATGGGGGGAATGGACATAAGTCATGTGATTTCAAGAAAAGCAACTGTCAAATATGAACATGTGCATAAGGTAAAACCACTATAGGACTACAGTTACCTTTTACATACAGCATGTCAGTCATAGAAATAATGTCAGTTATTGCTTGTAAATAAGCAAACAAAAATAAAAAGGCGATAAATTGAAAAATGTTTTTTGCACTTCTTAACCCGCGCGGGGCTGGGGGGGGGGGTAAATTTTACCCCCCCTCGCGAATTTTTGCGATATCTCATAAACGGCGGCGCGCAGCGCCGCCAAACTTTCAGTACCTTTTCTTACATCAATTTGACACGTTCCCTAAAAATTTGAGCGAAATCCGTCGGAAAATTTTTGAGAAATTGACGTTTTAGTGACGTCATGTTCGCCATTTTCGCCTCAAAAACGGCAAAAGTTTAAACGCCGCTAACATCTTCATTTTTAAAGGAATCAAGACGTAACAAAAAAGGTTATACGTAATTTTACTTTGTCTATCAAATGGCTATCTCGGTTTTTTGAAAATTTTGGATTTTGGCCTAAATTTTTTTCAAAAAACTGACTTTTTTGGGAAAATAATTATAAAATCCAAAATTTTGAGTGTATCGAAAAAAACCGGAATATATGTCAGAGAAGTGGTCTATGTGCACCTACATACCAATTTTTAGAAGAATCGGTTCAAAAATGTGGGAGTTATTCAAAATTTTATGACGTCACGACACACAAAATTTTTGAAAAATGACTTTTTTGGAAGTTCTAGACCTCGTACGGAAACAAAAATAGCACCATTCGATTCGCCGTGAAAAACTGCATCAGATAGACACCTTTTTAGGCCTTAACAACCAACTTCAAAATTTGACCTCACTTGACCTGACCTTGACCTGACCTCGACCTGAAATTCATCCAGAGGTGGTCCATATCACTTATTGAGTGTGCCTATTGAATTCTATGAGTAAAATGACCCATAAAACATGTGTCGCACATGCCCTTTTCTATATTTTGTTTTTTGGTGACCTGACCTGACCTGACCTGACCTTGACCTTGACCTCTGAATGATATTGTATGCAACGAATATTGTCTTGGTAGCCTAAGAACACGTTTTGGGTGATCAGTCTCAGTCCATGACTCCATTCTTCGGCAACTACGGTGCAAGGCCGATACTGTAGAAACTTGCAATTTGTACCCTTGACCTGACCTTGACCTTGACCTCAAACTTTAAATTAAGTACATGTTTTTAGTAGTTCGTGACGAGAGCTTTCGATAGGCGTTTGAATTTTCCAAATCGGACCATTAGTTCGGGAGATAACAGGGGGGGTAAAATTTACCCCCCCCAGCCCCGCGCGTTCGGCTGGAGACCCCAGCCCCGCGCGGGTTAAAACTCCAGAACTTTACTCAGATAAATAATTATCTTATGTTGCAGTTGGATTTCAAAATTTTACAGAACAGTGCACTGTTAAGGTGACATGAAAATCCACATATATGCTTAGTCCATGAACAATGTTAAAATGCCTCTCAAGTCAATATAGGAAGCCCTAGGTAGGTACCTGATTGATGGCATAACAAATTGTAAATGGTCAGAGCATATAAATGATTGAAAAATAAGCATACAAACAGCTGTAAACAGCACTTAACTATAAAACACTTCTTTTGGTTATGGATGTCAATTGCCCAGGACAGTGCTAATTGATTGCTGACTACACAGCCCCAGCCCCCAAGTGACAAACAAGTCACCAACCATCCATGTTCTGCAATTTCTGCCCTAGTACCTAATTCAAAATGTAATGGGAGGGGACACAGAAGATTCTCATACTGCAATGATACATCCTAACAAAGCATGACCTTCTTATGGCACTAGCAATAAAAATGAAAAATGAAATAATTTAAAAGACACAGACACAATAGGTATCTCCTTAGTCCTTATCACTTCAACTTACCTCTTTTGACATTTTCATAGCATGACTGTTGAGTGCTGCAAGCCATGCCTGTGAGATGCTGTTCCTAACTTCTGCTCTTCCATATATCCAGTTGATCACATTATTCACCCACAACACCTCATCATCAATTTCACCGTTTGCCACAGGCGCACCTGACACGTACGGGATCTTGACCGCTCTTGTTGGGGAAGGTGATCGCCTTCTATTAGCAACTGCCTCCTTGAATGGCTTAGATGATTGTACTCTTGATATGAAGCTGGAATCCACTGAGTCAAGTCCACCACTTTTTCCAGAATTTGGCACAATGGGAGCACTTGTTGCCTTTCCACTGGCATTGTTAGGCAACAACACATTCTTTCTTAGTTCAGAATCACTTCCTCCTTGCAAGGACACTGATTCCGCACCAGCACTTTGAACACTTTTATAATTCTTGAAAAAATGCACTAAAAGTGCAAGCACAGCACAGAACACTACCCAACCAAGCACAACAACAGTCAAGGCATCCATTCCCTCAGGAACTGGAGGGTCAAAGCTGCAAATAAAATCGTCCAGCTGCTCAGCCATTGCTCTCCACTGTGCTCTGAGCCAGGCTAAAATTAGCTCTGGCGTTGAAGCTGCCATGATTATAACCTTCCCACCGGCCAACAGCTAAAAATAGTCGGCGGCGACAGCAGCGCCCCGGCGAGGGGATCCTCCCCGTCGATTGGCTACTTCTCTTCTCCTCTTGTTCTACATTTCCTGACAATCTATGGACAATATAAATAATTGGCGATAATTTATATAACTATTTCTTAGTTGCAGATGTCAAATTATGTATCTCGCAGACCACCGTCACAGACAAAACAATACACTGCCGCCCACTCTCGATTGTTTACGTTTATCCCTTATAAGGTTTTGTTTCAAATACGACGAGGCTGAGACATTTCATCGACTCCTTTTATTTTGCTGCTTATTTTCTATTTCCACTATTCCGGTTCCTTACACCGCTGCCATTGTCTTCTTGCATCGTTTTTATCACTGTTATTTCTTTAACCATCATGTATTTGTGAATAACTTTCATGTATTTAAAAAATAATGTTGAAATAATTATGCACTTATACATGTCACACATAAAAAGCGTCAGAGCGTTTGATATAGGTTTTAGCCGAAGGCAGGTCTACCCTGGGTCTACCCGCCTACCTATTTCCATGCTATAAATTATAATTCTATGGCCGGTAGACCGGGTAACGTAACATATTGAATGAAAAGATATCTTTAGATGCTATAACTGTGGTTCAAACTGAAAATAACGTTATTTCTATCGAACGTGTCCTTTAAATTGGACTGAAGGAATTTCATTGCACTGCAGAAAATAACAGTAGGCACTGCATAGTGCCTATAATCGTGTCCTAGGTAGGTATTAGTTACCTATCTTTATGAAGCCTAGCATTTTATCTCTGTGACTCTATGGAAACATCCAACATAACCACTTATTACATAAGTAATTTCCCATAGGTATAACATATTAAAGCTGATGCTATGCTATCGTATATAATGTGAATATTGCATTACTAAGTTCTTTGGAGGCCAGCATCTCTATTTCACCAAACAAAGCAAAAGCTTCTTTAATCTACAAATTATAGTAGCCCTTATTTCATGTAGAACAGACAATGCTTCCAAGCATTCGCCAATGCTCACTCCTTTATACACATTCCTCCATTCCTCCATTACACATTCCTCCATATACCTACATGTACGTTTGTACCAACATGTACCTTTCTTTTATGCTCTTTTGGGCACAAAAAAAAATGAAAAAATATATCTTCAAAAAGTCACCAGTGTCTACTCAAACTGCAGATCTGTCAGCTTTCTCTCCAAAAACTGGCGCCTTGATTCGGCTCAACTGAAGTCACGTCCATTTATTTAACGTCAACGCTGCGAACGGCGGCCCCTGTGGCCCGGGTCGGCGCGGGCGGCGCCGGTCCCTGGCCAGGCGGCGCCTCAGTCGCCGCAGAACGAGCCCGGAGCCAGCGGCGACTGGCCCCGGCCGGCGGCCACACCGTTATTGATCAGCATTTGTACCTACTGTAGGTCATCTGAGAGAGCGGCTCCCGGGCCGCAGTGCCGGCCAGTGTCAGATCAGGCCCCGTGCGCGGCCATATTGCCAGTTCGCGGTCACAGAACGTCCCTCCGTCGGCGCCACCCACAGCACCACGCCGATCGGTCGCGCACAAACTGCAAACAGCGCCTAAAACACGAGCGGTACGCCATCGCACGCACAGTCCATGCGCTCTGCGGGCGGTCGGCCGCGAGCGGCGAGGGCAGGCGTGTCTCAGTCCGCTGCTATCGAAAAATATGCCCTCTGAGACGTGTCCGTCCGAGCACATCTCCCTGGTCCCAAGACTGGTGCTGCCGACGATCCTGGTGCCTCTGTGGTGCCGGCAGTGCCGCGATGTCGCCGCCGCTGGGGGCGGACACAGCCCGTGGTCCCATATGTGTGAGAAGCGCGCCTTCCCACCAGCAGAGGACAGCGCACAGGGTGAGGCCAACTGCAGAGACAAAAGCGACAGTGTCAGTTTCATGGGATGGTCACGTATATACTTTCATAAATACCTAAATGCTATCAATAAGGTCAATAATCCATGTGTGCGTGTCACCCTTTCACCCTAATCGAAGACAGATATGCTGCTGAATTCATTGAAAAGGCATGAAAGCAGAAGCAATCATCCACTGCATAAAAAGTACACGTCACAAGTCATCATACAACATTCGAGCAGGCCATCGGAATATCTATGCCTACATATAGTCTCAGGCTTGACTAGAAAGACTCGTGTGTAGGCAGTAAAGCTTTTGAACTTATCAAATATGGGTTACCTTCATATGTTAAAGATGGAAAGTCGCGATCATGATTCCTTTTTCGTTGTGAATGACACGATGGAGCGGATGCCTTTGACGGAGATCTGGGGAGCGAATAAGGCTATCAGCTTAGCTCACTGAGACATGAACTATCAAACACTCAACATTTCCTTCTGGATGCGAAGATAAATCAGTAAAATCTTACAATACAGACTTACTGAACGAAGAAAGGCAGATAAAGAAAAAACTTTTAGCATTCGGTCGTGAAGATTCGGCAGTAATGTAACGTCAGCATTAATTCTCTTCTGTCGATGGATTTTATAAGTTCTAACAACTGCTCAGAGGTCTCTAAGCCACGCAGATTGACGATTACCAACCGACCTTTTTCTTGGTTCCAGACATAATCTCCTTGTACATTTCGGACCGGAGGTACCGGGAGTAGCTGTCCGACTTCATCAAGTGATACAGGTGCACCTGTCGGGACAAAGGTCACGGTAAGAGGTGGTACATATTTCAAATGCCGGAGCTTGAGATTGATGAAATCGAGAAATGTAGAAACGAAGGTGTGTGAACCGGAAAAAAAAAAACTTTAAAGGAAATAGTTCACTTTTTAACATGGGTTTTGAACTGGAATAGCAGTTCCGTAGCTTGGGCTGAGACGAGCATAAATCAGGAGCTTTTACAGCCCAACGATCACCCTAGGCAAAGATATTCTATTTCTCGTCCCGAAAAAGGTGTCTTGCGTTGAGGATGTGTGCCTTGCATATATTTCCATCCAGTATGAAAAGAGCATGGGTCCCGAAAATTCTTCAGAAACTAGAGAAATTATCTACGAGAACTCGAGAGAAATTCTCGTACTGATCAATTAGGACATTCAGGGGAACATTATCAGATCGAGCAGATCGCCCAAATGCCGGTGGCTGCGATAATTTCTCTGTTTCTGAAGAATTTTCGGGACCCATGCTCTTTTCATACTGGATTGCGTGTGCCTTACAGAAACTGAAAAGTTCTTCCTATATCAAAATATAGAAAATAATATTTTGTTATAAAAAGGTTTTATTTTCTTTGCTGATTATTTTGAACATAAAAAATCATAAATCCGTTGCAAAAAAAAAATAATTTCGTGAAAGTGAACTATTTCCTTTAATAGACATCGGTTGCATTCCTCGAAAGAGCATCTGAAATGGTTTAATTACTTTTACGACGTTCATATGCAACTGAGCCAGATGCAACGAGTTTCTGCATCTGCCTAGGTAGGTCTCAGTGAATGTAAGTACACTTTTTTCATTAAATGTTTCGGGATCCTACGCCTCTGCAACTGACCCCGGCTGCCTCGAACGTCCACCGGTCGGGTTTCTCCATGTTACGCTTTGTGATCTCGTACGACTTGGAGTCGATGTTGACGGGCATTGAGGCGTCCGGTGCGAGGAACTCGGCCCAGATCTGGTGCACCCGGTCCGCCACGGCCTGCTGCGGCAGTGCCTTCAGCTCCTGGAGCGCCAGAAAGAACCTGCGAGGGCACACGGGACGTCAGGAGCCGGGTAGCCGAGAGCAGCGCTGCTGATCGACCGCCGGACGCTTATGGAAACGAAGAACATCTCTCGTTTACTGAGATATGATTTACTTAGACTTTGATTCGAATCTGGCTCGTGTTTACAAAATATTTTATGCAATGAAAATCGAGCCGATTGGCGAAATTCGATTCAGGGTCAAGCTAACCATACTTGTAAGGCATTAAATGTAAGGCAATACACATATAAATTCGTCGTAAAAACGGACGATGTGCATAAAACACTTCATTATAATGATCAGCTGGGAACAATTTACGATGGAAGGAACCACGTTTTAATTCAATTTAGCCAATTTAACTAAAGCTTACCGAAGATTCTCGCCGCTATACTCCTTGTCAAGGAACTTTTCGAACTGATCCCGCCCGATCGGGTCCCGCAACAGCTCGTTGAGACTAAACGCCCAACGTTTGACCCGCTTCGGAGCTATCTCTTTCCTGGGGGCGGACACATAAATGAGTGAATCGCCTTGTTAAACGGTCAAACGGAGCTTTGATCAACACGGCTAGGGCGATATCGCCTGTTTTATGAGTAAACTGACACTTTATCAAAATGTCACGGATCTTGGCGATATGACTTATAAACATCACAGCCATTCTAACCGAATCAAGCGATAACTGAAACTTACGTAAACGTATGAACTTTTATTATATTTCTTACGGGATTGTATCGTCCATTGCACCCACGTCGATTTTCCTCTCAACTGGGTTCTCTGTGGGGGCGCTGCGTTAGATCCGTGACTAAAACGGTATACTCACCCGGATTTCTCCTGGTCCCACAGCTCTGTGTTGTCGCTAATCCAGGGGTTGGACGGCTCTTGGACTGTCAGCGCAGGGTCGTACTCCAGGTACTGCTCGTAAAAACTGATGAAACTGGAACAGAGACGGTCAAAATTGCTCACAAAGGAACGAGTAAAATATTGTAAAATGATTGCAGAGGGTGGGAATGAAAGACGAAATCGAAAATATCTCATTATCATTCAGAATCAGAAACATGACGCACGATGAAATAAACTATTAGTGTTTCATGTCACTAAGAAAACTGTTGCACACAAAAGGCTTTCAAACTTTGAAACATGCGTCGCAGTTCATACTAAACAACAAACAGTTGACCAGGGACACCACAGATGCTGATAAGCCCCTCCCCACAGGTCAATCTCGGTCGTCGCTCCCCCATGACGCTCCGCTCGTCTCGTCACTCACGTTTCGGCGGCTTTGGAGACCCGCAGGCTGCAGCGGTCGATGCTGGCTCGAATGCGGTCGGCAGCGGCTCGCAGCTCCGCGATCTCAGTCTCAGCAGGCCGGCTGCCCTCCTCTGCGGAGGTACCGGCCGCAGAGAGCAGCTGGCCGCATTGGACGGGAACGGGCCGGCCGGGCGCCGAGCGACTCATCCTACACGCCTTCTTGATGTCCACCTCTGTGGTGTTGACGCAGCCCGGCTGGTGGAGCAAAGAAGGGAGATCATGAGCCACAGCCCGGTGCATAGGGTATAACTCAGTCCGGCTGGTGCCACATGAGGCAAAGTCAGTTACTGTCAGGCGTCAGAGCTAGTCTGGTACAGAGGGCGTGGAGGCTATGTCCAGCGGTACCAGGTCCACCATGTAGCATGTCCACACTAGACGTTAGACGTTAGACTAGTAGACGTTAGGGCGTTAGACAATAGACAATCTTAGTACAGGGAAAGGCCCACTCAGTCTGGAACAGAGGACGTACAACTGTGTAGGCGGAGAAACAAGGCGGCGACCTACGAGCAGAGGGCGGTGGAATCGTTCAAAGCGAGCTGGTTGCAGCTGCCTGTCTCGGAGTGCAAGCTCCTACTATACCATCACACATGGCTGTAATGTTACGAACAAAGTGACTCGAAAATGTGACGCGCGAAAATATCAAATGCATATAACATGTACGTGGACCATTTGTTGCTTAAGTCGGCAACTAAATACAAAAATCAGTCGCTTAAAATTCGTTACTTGGGCCTAGCCTCCTGTCTGACGGAGTGCTGACTGCACCTACCACAGGCCGGTGGACGTCCCAGAAGGCCCGCTCCTGGCTGTCGAGGATCTTTCGCTCCAACTTATCCCGCTTCTTATCCACCTTGGACTGCGCCTCCGCCTGTCGGTTCACAACACAACACAGGCGAGGTTTTATCCGGGTCAAACAATCGCAGGCTGGCTATAAAACTATATATGAAAAAATGTCGTCACAGTCGGCTGAAGGCATGTTCATGCTACATATAATATTATGTAATTAATATAATCATTCGTGCTGGTCGTACCTGCATGAATATGAATTCCCATTTTCTTGAGAAAATCTTTTGTAACCTCGCCAAATTTTCTGCCTCGTAATCAGCAAGCTCAAGACGAGTCTTGTTCTGCATCGTACGTTTACACAGGTACACCGCTGTAAAAGAAGAGGGTCGGTCGTGACATCGTGCGTTAGCGGTTTACACAAATGGGTAAACGGTACACCGTTGTAGCAAGGAAGGCGGTAACTTTGTCCACTTATAAACGTACGCTGTTGTAACTTATAGTCGGCAAGTGTTTTTGTTTATTAAACGAACACAAAGTCGTTTACCAATAAAAGCTGTCGTCAATATTGTTGAGGGGAAGTAGGTACAGATCAACCAACATTTTTCTACACGCATAAATATTGGCTGACAAATGAGCAGTGTTTTGGGTAAATACTTTACCATAGTCGGTATTTTCCGGCTCCCACGACTTGGAAGGCCAAAAATACGGCGTCTGAAATAGAACGCGGGATAAAGATGAACTGCCGGCAGTATGTCAGAGAATACGACAGCGCATTTGCAGTGGAGTTCCCCGTTTCCTGGCTGATATAGGTACAGACGGTTTGAGCACAATGCCAGCAGTAAGCATGACTTGACAGTGGACAGTGGACGGTACAATCGTTGGCTATATATAAGGAAGGCTATACTGTGACCGTTTAATGTTTTGATTTGAACTCCATGGGTACTCAGATATTGTGACAAAAATGTTTCCAGCAACAAACAACCTATTTGATAGGTTTGTGTGCAGAATTACTTCCAATTAACAAAATAACTCGATCCAAAGATCTGCCGCCTGAAGCAGCGCAGGCAGAGCTGCGGCGTCCTCACCTGGAAGCGGTAGAAGGTGCCGTCGTTTCTGACGGTGAGGATGTGGTCGTCGATGGGGAACAGGTAGCCGTGCGCCGCCATCAAGTGCGCTAAGTGGAGAGCCTCCGCTGCAGCACAGAAAAAGGGAAAACCGGAAAATGACTAGGCTCCTATTTATATACTGTACAGTAGACAGGATCATTTTCTCACAGGCAATCAGACATCAGTTGCCTGGAATGGTAGACTGTGCCGCATCACACATGTTAGCGACACAGCCTGACCCTTGTAACCCTTCGTTCGTCATCAATAAGTTTAATTGCATGATTAAAGGATTACCAGAACAATCGAGGGTTCCAGTTAACTGATAGCTTATTTTGAGCGGAACATTATTATATATTCGGCTGTATTGTGAAGAAAATGAGAAGATGTGTTTCTGACATTAAAATCATTACGTAAAAAGGACAGTAATCGAGATATAGGTATACAGAGCGGGACCAAAGGACCAAGGTTAAGCCTAGTAGGACCCGATGGAAAGCCTAACTGACTGCTACTGAACCCATATTAACCCGCGCCCCACTGGGGGGCTATTTATAGCCCCCCTCCCGTTTTTCTGCAATAACTTCAATACCGCTTGACGTATCGACGCCAAACTTTCAGTACCTTCGGCTGCATCAATTTGACACCTTGTGTCAAAATTTGAACTTCGTAGCTATCATAGGTCGGCCGGAAATGACGTCAGAGTGACGTCATATTCGGCCGATTTCTACGCAAAACATTGAACCACGGCAATCGCTCCCAAGGGCTCATTTTTTAAGCTAGATCCAATTTCTTTGCATGAGAGGACTGAAAATAGACTGCGCTATCAAACTGCTATCTCGGATTTTCGAAATTTTGAAAATTTCGAAAATTCTATATAATAAAATTCACAATTTACATTTTTACATTTTTTCAAAAAGTTTTTGACTATTCGAAAAAACCGGAATATATGTGATAGAACGCGTTATTATGACAAACTCTAGCAAGTTTTAGCTAAATATCTTCAAAAATGGCCAAGTTATACGCATTATTGCAAAAAATTCACAATTATTAATTTTTCAAATCAACTTTTCACGACGTATTTGACATTGTACGCCAATATAAATAGCACCATCGTGTTCCTGAGCTCAAACTGCATCCAATAGACACGTTTTCTGTTGAAAATATAACTTCAAAATTTGACCTTTTTTACCTGAAAGTGACCTGACCTAAGCTAAATTCGACTCAAAATGACCTCGAATGACACAGGCGACATCAAATTCGAAATCTTTGGCCTAAATGGACCATAAAACATGTGTCACGTGACCGACGCATGATATAATATTTTCGTGACCTGTGATGACCTGACCTTGACCTGAAAATCAAAGTACAAGTTTGGTACCCTCAGGGTATCTAGAGCATCTGTTCACGAGTGTGTGAACCAAAAATGAGCCTGATCTGACTTGTAAGACGGCGGCCAGAGCCCAAAAGGTGAACAAGCCAAAATGCTAATAATTTTTAATTTGACCTGACCTGTGACGTCATCGGTGACCTCGAGGTCAATGAAATTAGGTTTTGTTCGACAGTTTTTCCGGGGCTATCAGACGCCGTTTGAATTTTGACGATCGGCCCAGTAGTTTCGGAGTTAGGAGGGATGGGCTATGAATAGCCCCCCCCCCCCCCCCAGTAGGGCGTGTTATACGCAGACCCCAGTGGGGCGCGGGTTAATTGTTCGGCTTTTACATGAGGTAGTTCGTCAGACAAGAGCTCATGTCCTGAGGCTTTGAGTTCTGAGCTCGGGTTTAATATTCTACATATGTTAGTCGTTACTGCCGATCGTTTTCGATCATAACGTCACTCACCCTGATCCTCGACGTCCAGATTTTTGATCATCCAGGCGATGAGGTCTGCGCCCGCGAACACGGAGGGAATCTTGGAGAGGAACGACTTCACAGTCCGGACGGAGACGCCGCTCCGCTCGTGCTGCATGCGCTCCACTATCCGCTCCATCTGGGGAAAAATACGGCAGAACTTTGTCAGAACTGGGTCTCATTCATGAGCTCGCAGTTCCTGAAAATTACACCGAGTAACAGGTAGGTACAGCTCAGCAGGAACAAAGCTAATTGAAGCAGACATGCATAGGGTAAATGCAATAAATGGACCAATAATGGAAGTAATCAATATGTAGGTTGCTACTCCCGATCTTCTTCAACTTCGCATTCGAAGAACAATCCCGTTAGTAAACAAATACCTTCCTATACGTGTCTTGTTTTATTCCTCGCTACTATGCCAGACCGCTGCGCAATTTAGCCCGGAATTAATTTAACACCTTCGATACATGCATGTTATTAGAGCTACTCATGTCAATAGACGAATTTTATCATTCGAAGATAAAACGAAGAGCACAGTTGCAGCTCATAAATTCAAAATGATTTTCTATCAAATAGGTCAAAAGCCCAGTTCTCGGAAAAGCTATACGTCGTATTGCTATACGTATTGAGCAAAAAAAAAAAATCAAAAAAAAAAAATCACACGCACACGCCCAATTTCATGTCTTAATTCGTTTTGCATTACATGCGAGCCCTC